TTCCCATATTAAATTGACCCCCCCCCCACCCTTTCCAAGCTAGAGTCCCCTGAATTTTGGTCATTTCCCCCATATGCACTGCTTTTGTTGATGCACACACACACATCACTTGCACACAGACACATTCTGGAGCACAACAATTTATAAACACTACCTCGTGACTTTTATTATAATTAAAAATTATAATATTTTATTATAATAAAATAGCTTCAATGCTGCATTACATTATACAGTATTTCTCAGCAGCAAGGTGTTTTTTGAAACTCACAGCACAGCTTCATTGTTTGTAGAGAGATGCACAGATGCAGGTAATTCACACAAGCAACTTTTATTCTCTCTAGCTCACTCTAAATATGGCTATATTTGAGAAAAAAAGTCAAGTAATTTGCATTCACTGGATATAGCTGTCGGTTATTCAACATTTATATCGTAAACAGCCCCTTGATCATAAAACAGTTGACATGCTTGGCAGCTTCCATCTAGCCTCTCTCTCTTTTTCAACTTGCTTCGTGCTAATTATTGGGGGGATTTGTCCCCCTCAATGTTATGGCCCTGGTATCAGGGTACCTTACACATTCAAAAAAGCGAAGCAAATAAAATACCATTTGCCATCATGACTGCCATTGTGCTTTTTTAAAATAAGGCTGTTTGCACATATTTAATGTTCATGACACAGATAAAGAAGTACCAGATATTTTTTCATTAAATTCCAAATCAACAACCACTGTAGTAAATAAATAGTGCTGCTATTTTTACTAATCCAAACTCAAATAGAGTACCAACTTCTGTCTGACACACCTGCAGCCTTTAACAGCAAATACTTTCTCTTCTTCAGGGAAGACGGGCATGTCTCTGACCACTCTATCTGCCAGATCATAGTCTTGGGTCATGTTCAGATGAAGCATCTCAGCCATGACACACTGATGCACATGCTTCACCTCCAGAGGTAGGAAAGGAATGTAATGATCAATCAGATGCTGATTTATTAGACTGGAGTGCCAAAGTCCATCTGTAGATTTACACAATAACGAGGAGATCCTTAATAAAATAACAAATTATATATACTGTATATGATACAGTTACATATACAAAATAAACAGATGAAGATAATACTGTAGATTCATGGAATTTGCATGAATTGCTTGCAAAGATATTATTTAAAAGACAGCTCCTGTGCAATATCCACTAATCACTATGGTGTGTTTTACTAGCAACCTTTTGTCATTGACATTACACTGTGCAAATACTATAACACATACTGTTCTCATCATTGAAGAGGTATTCGAAGATTTGAGTCTCCATTTCCTCACTCTGGAGTTGTAGTTCTTCCCGATTGTTGCCTTTTCTCCAGAAATCCAGAGTCACGTTTGTGATGATATGCCCACCTGTTTGACTATAGATAATACAGCTCATCATGCACTGGTTCACTCTTTCAAGAGCGAGTAACATAGACAATATACAAAAAAAGGACTGGAGATAAAAAGACTAAGGACTTTAAATTGTAATTTAAATTACAATGCATAGGTAACACCTTTTCTAATTTCTTTTAGGAGTATATTTTAAGAAATGTCCAAAACACTGGCTATGTTCAGAATAGCATACTACAGCATACTGGACACAAAACTGTATCACACAAAACACTGCGCACAACTTGATCTTCCATTTTCAGTGTAATTAACAAACAACAATTCATATTAATTACAAATAACGTATTTTTGGACTGGCATATGATAAGACATTAAAAATGTATTTAAAAATGCAAAAAAAAAAAACATATTTAATGTATGACACTGTTTACTGACAAGTTTAGCATTGTATGTTTATAGTTTAAATACAGTTTTTCAAAAACAGTAGGTATTATCCACCTTATTTTGCATGAAGAAGTAAGCTGTTTTCTGTGAATGTGTGAGACTTCCGTTTTATTAGTGTCGGGATTATTATCTGTTTTGGTTTTCCTTGTACTTCCTTGGTTCCTGTTTTCCCTTGTCTAGTTAGTTGCCATAGTTTCTCATTAGTTAAGTGATTAATTCTCTGCTGTTCTGATTCAGTTTCTCTGTATACAAGTTTTCTTAGTTCCATTGTCTGGTCTTGTTTTGCATTAATGTGGTAGTTTTGCTCCCTCTGATCTCCTGATTGTTCCTTGTCATTGGGTTAAAGATGATTGTGGTATTCCTTGTCGTGTACTTTATTAACACAGTCCCCCTGTGACAATTAACCGATGTAAATAACTAGAGGAATAGCAAAGTGCAGTAAATGCTAAAACTATTTGCACTACAAACTAGTGTTTTTATGATTGTGATGATAAAATAATATGATATCAAATACCTGCTTGCAAAATAAAGCAGCAAAATGGGCTGTTTTATTTTTAAGTAAAAAAAACGGAAGCCTTGCACATTCAAGTAACAAAAAATGGCTGCACCCGTTTTTATAATATACTGTATATATATACTGCACAGCAATAGTCAACCATAGCCAGCGTCTCTGTCAGATTCCTAATAAGAACAAACCCAACAGTTTAGTGCATCACCTGAGAAAAATGAAGATTGCTTTGTTGAATGACACTCCATCTACATTGTCATTGTTGTCTAGAAAAGGTTTTAGGGTGTCAATCAGCCGTGGATGCATCCTATCCATTTCATCAAATATGAACATGGAGCGGGGAAAATTTGATACATTTCCATGAATCCACTGCCTAAGTTGAAGCTACAGAATGAATTTATGAAATATTATGCATTTTACAAACACTTTCCACTCTACATTCACTTTCTTCAAAGAGCCTAGTTTACCTAGCATATTACTATTAACGTCAAAGACAATATTAAAGCAATGAACGCATATACATCTATGACTTACTTCATACATCTCTGCCTCCTCTTTATGTGGAAAGTGATAATCGGATATGAAAATGTGAACATGATTGCTCTTTAATCCCACTTTATAAATATTCCTTGCAATGATCTTGGAGATGTAATTTTTTCCCACTCCTGTCGGCCCATGGAAAGAGAGGACCAGCGGCTTGGGTGGATCTGGATCTTTCATAAACCAAGATACAGCCTTCAGAACTGTATCCACAGCGATATGCTGCCCAAATAGAGACTTCCTTAGATCCTTCTCCAAATCTGACAACATGTTTGACTCTCGTTAGCAACACATATTCATATATTATTAAAAGACAGAGTTAAAAGTTTCAATTATGGCCACAGTAAAAAAAAAAAGAAGCAATATATATAATGGAACATGATACATTTTTTTTGCTTACCGCTTGAATTAAAAGAAAGCAAATCATCGTCCTTAGAAAACACATTAAAAAAATCCCAGAATCCAGCCTCTGTTGCAACAGGCAACAGAAAAAATAAAACTAAAAATGTTCCTGATTTCATTGCAAAGATGATTCCTTGCACTGTTTTAGTCACTTTCAACTGTGCAGAAAAAGTGGCACGGTACAAGATAAATTCATAAGGCTTTCCAAGAATGAAGTTTTACAGTCACACCTTAATACGTCAGGACAGGGTGAGGAGTTCATGAAGCCTTGTTCTTCCACATTCTCCTGTCATGCATTGTGTGTAAAATCGATCAGGTATCAACCAATGCATAACTTCTGCCCCTATAGTGGCTAACTGAGGCAAGTGAACTGTCATAATCACGAGGCAAATTTTTTGTGTGTGTGTGTGTGTGTAGAAAAGAGTATTAATTATTTAAATACATTTATGGTATTATATGTATAGTTAAAAAGCAAAATATACATGCATCTACAACCATGCATCCCTGTTCTGTTTCTATTCACAACTCCTTGAACTGAAAACAGTTGAAGATCTCTGTCTATCTGACAGGACTAAAGAATGTGCACTAAAAAGCTGCAGACTGGACACAAAGCTTTTAACTTTAAAAGTACAGTATTAAAGGTGACATCTCATGAAAATCTGACTTTTTTAGGTTTTAAGTGCTATAATCAGGTCCCTGGTGCATCTACCAACCAAGGAAACGTGAAAAAGATTAACCCAATCACTTTGTTTTGGGAAGCCTTTTTCTGCAAGCGTCTGAGAAAACGAGCGCGTCTGATTTCGCTCCCTTGGTGACGTGGCAAAGGGATCTCATTATAATATTACCGCCTCTTAATCTGTAAATTTTCACCCACGTCGCCATTATTGTGTTTTCGCAAGCGACAACGGTGTGTTAGTTCTAATGCCATGGCGAAAGTTTGAGCAAAACATGCAAACTGTTCTGTCTTTGGCTGCTGCTGTGACAGCCGCTTTCTGTCCATGTGCTTCAGATGTGTGCACTCAGAAAACCGTATATCAGAAGTTTAAACTCATATGGTTTAAAACGCATGATTTCAGCGCGATAAACATGATAATCAGAACCAAAACAGATGTTTTTTTAGCAGGTACCAGCTGTAATGGCAGCTCTATTCTGGAAAAGGGGGCGGGGAGCAACAGCTCATTTGCATTTAAAGAGACAGGCACGAAAAACAGCGTGTTTCGGCTTTCACTCAAAATAGGCATTTTCAAAATGATATAATAAATGATCTGTGGAGTATTTTGAGCTGAAACTTCACAGACACATTCTGGGGACACCAGAAACTTAGATTACATATTGTAAAAAGGGGCATAATATGTCTCCTTTAAATCCAGACTACAGACAAAGCAAAGCACAACATAATCAACACTGGAATATTAATAAGCAAAAAATATGTCACCATATATGTGCAGGTCTAAGGGAAATCAAATTTAATATTTTAAGAAACCATTTACAGAAAAAAATACACATACACACAGTTCTTGTCATTGAAGATATTGTGATATTTTTATTTTAATCTCCGGTTCCTTGCTGTTCATCCAAAGCTCTTTCCAAATTTTGCATTCTCTCCAGTAATCCAGAGCCACTTCAGCAATTACATTCCCACCTGCATTACTATAAACAAACATGCTTATCATTAGTTGGGTCACTCTTTTGAGAGAGTCGAGGCATTTAATTGCTACTCCACTTGAATCTGACAATTACATATTAGTGTTTCTCCAAAAAAAGAAGAAGATTGCATTGTGGAATGACACTCAATCAACATGGGCATTGTAGTCTAGAAAAGGTTTTATGAAGTAGTTGCATTTTCTCTATTCCATCAAATATGAACATGGACTGTAAAACATGAACATGGACTTGATACATTTCCATAAATCCACTGCTTTAGCTGTACCTGAATATACAGAACATGCAAATCCCAGGTAGAGTATTAGTCAAATACACAATTAACACATACTCTTAGTTAGGGCTGTGCAATTAATCGAAAAACAGTTTCGATTTCGGCCTCCAACGATTATGAAAATACAATAATCGAGATGAAACGATTATTGCGCCCCATTCTGCTTCCTTTTCGTTCCTCCATAAAAGCCCAATGTCACGTGCAAATCAGTAAACTCATGTAAAATGACTTTTGCAAAATGGGACGTGCTTGATTTATATTAGTATATTTATTCATGTTTTTAAAAGCGTAAAAGAGAACTTTTTTCTAAGCGGTCAAATACACGCAAAAATATGTCAAAATGTGGCGCTTAGTGATTATTCATGCATACCTTCGTCGGTCATGTAATAAAGGTAAAGAGTTGAGAATGTAAATACGCGTGTTAATGGTAAATTGGATCCGTGCAGCTCTTAAAGTGACAGCGGGCTATTTTCCTGCTGCAACTGTGTGTTTAATATTAATCAAACAACAAAAGACAAATTCAAAATCACACAAACTCTTGAGTGAAGAGCTTTTGTAGCTTTAATAAGAAACAAAAAAAGTTGAATTCTTACAGTGAAGACTATGCTGTTTTATTTTACATTTGATTATTCATTTCTGTTGTAGGCTGTAAACCGCTTGAGACTTGCATAAAAACATTAAAGCACAGTTTGTTTAATTTGTATCTTTTTATTCTATTGTATTTGTCCTTTGCTTTTTTTATTACTGACAGTTTAATTATTTTCAATAATTTTGAGGACTTTTTGTTTGTTTGAAAATCCACAGGTCTCTACAATGTAGATGTCATAGCAACCTTATTTACAGGAAATATATATTTGATATGTATCACTATGTTTAAATATATATAAAGTTTTGGTCATATGGCCCCCTCATAATCGTGTTAAATAATCGTGAATACAATATTGACCAAAATAATCGTGATTATGATTTTTCCCATAATCGAGCAGCCCTACTCTTAGTCATTAGTAGTTATACCTGTTCCGATCTAAACTGACATTCTGGAACATTTTATTAATTGCGCTGTAAATGTGTGGATATTGTTTGTGTGGGAAATGGTGCTCAGATTTAAAATGTGAGAACATGCTTGCTGTTTTCCCCTTTTTTCCTACACATTTCTTGTGGGGATTTAAGTTACATGATTTTTCCCAACAATCAAAATCAACAAAAGAGCAATGATATGCAAGTGCTATAACAAGTCACAGTTAGCTTAACGCAGTACACGTAGCAAGGTTTTTAAAAATTATATAATAAATAAAAAGAAAACCGATAGAATAGAAAAAGAATAGTGCAAGCTAGTGTTAGAGGTCTTTTTTGCTTTTGTTAATTGGATAATAAATAAAAAGAAAACAAATAGATAAAATGCAAAAAGATAAAATAAGCTAGTGTTAGTTTTTTTTTTAAGCCTAACTGGATGGTGAAATTGTGATGAAACGATGGGTTTGCTGGAACCACAAGCAGTTCTGTCTTGGAAGGTTGAGTTGAAGGTGATGGTCCTTCATCCAGCAAGAAAGATCTGTTAGACAAGCTGAGATGCGAGCCGCTATCGTCAGATCATCAGGATGGAATGAGAGGTAGAGTTGAGTGTCATCAGCATAGCAGTGATATGAAAATAAATGCTGTTACAGCTTTCAGTACAGCATCATGCACAATGTGCTGCCTAAATAGATTTTGTCTTAAATCTGCCTTCAAACCTGAAAGGTGTTGAGATATGTGAAGTCAAAATATTGTATTGCAAGCTAATGCAAATGCACTGAAATAAGATGCCCCCGGGGCAAGAGGACCTCCCTAAATAATTTTTTTTCTCTTGACCATAGATGGCACAAAATGTCATCTTAGCACATTGATGAATGGCTACGCTTTTTTTTTTTTTTCCTGAACATCAACATTTGTGAGATTAGTCAGTTGGAACTGTTTTGAGGTTATTAATCTAATTTTGTGTCTCTGGAAAATAGTGATCTATGACATTGTATTATGTTGAATATCAACTGTTAATGAAGGACCTGTGGACACTTCAACGTAACATAGTAACGTGATATCAACCATGTTTAAAAAAAGGTTACAATAAAAACTATGCAGAATAAGAACGTATCACTTCCTGTTCACAAAAAAAAATAAATTGACAAGTTATTTAAGTTTGCAAAATTAATTTGCAACAATCGAAGTCACCACCATATCTGTTGGAAACAAATGTCAAAACAACGAATCATAAACTTAAATCCTCTAAACATAAACCATTATTCTGCTGTTTTACTCACGTTTAGAGTCAAAAGGCAGCAAACTGTCCCATTCAAAACATTTGTGGAAAACACACTGAAGCTAATGAAAACACCTGAAGATAATTAGACACCAGCAATAAAACTATTAACAAATGCCATGCTTTCATTGTAAAAGTGAATCACCCAGGCAAATTTTATGTGAAATAAATAAGCCTATATTAAAAACTAGCAATGCTGGCTAGTCACACAATGAAATAATTGATTGTATTATGCAAATAATGACAACTGTCATACAAACCTTTCCATGTCAGTTCTATGTTGGATGTCATGTCAGTGATCAACATCCATTTCTTAATTTACTCTTCAAGCTCATGCATGGGAAGTCTTCCTGATCTACTAAGATAAATATGACTGTTTGTTATTTATTAAATTATATGAATATTGATTTATATGAATAGACAAACTCATTTACTCAAAATAGATTACTGTGGATATACAGAAATGATCTGTCACTGCAGTAAAGAAAAAATACACTGGAATTAAAGACACATTCTGTGTAAACAAGTCTTAAAGGGGTCATCGGATGGCCATTTTCCACAAGTTGATATGATTCTTTAGGTTCTTAATGTTCTTTACAATTTACAAATTACTTTGTAATTACAAATTACACGATGACTTATTCATCGTGAAATTTGCTAATTAGCACATTATTAGGAAAGGCGATTTGCAAAGATTCATTAAAAAACCTTACACTCACTTCTGTAGGTGAAGCTGGATCATGAATGATTTGCACGAACATAGACGCATTTAGGTAGATCAGGGGCACATTCCCTTCAAAAACAAACGTAATCCACTGCGTCTTCAGCGGCTCAGATGTCGGGAGTAAATGACGACTGCTATGCTCATTATTACATCCAACAACAGAACACCTCAGTCGCTTAGGAGTCATTC